GAAAAGAAACGGTTCTAAAACATGGTAATTGATGAAAACCAATTTGTCTCTCATGTCGGCAAAGACATTATATGCTAGTAGCCCCATGAAAAAAAAAAAGTAATATAACGCCCCAAGTAACACAGTCTAGCTATATTCGCTGCGACAGCAAAAATGTAGTTAGTATAACGTTCTGCCAGCCTTAATTACAGCTATTTGGCAGCAAATGTTATTTTGCTAAACTTTTAACTGCAAAAGCGCTGTGACAACTAATAAAAAAGTCAAAATGCATTTAACCTATTTTAACTGTATTAATAGCTGTAAAGTCGCTGTGACAGCTATCAGAAAAATCAAAACTAGCCGCAGCCATTTTAACTGCATTAATTAGTATGAAGTCGCTGTGACAGCAATAATAAAAGCCAAAATCCAGCTACAGTTATTTCAGTTGTATTAATTGATATAAAGTCGCTGTAACAGCAATAACAAAAGCCAAAATTTAACCACAGCTATTTTAGCTGTATGAATAGTTGTAAAAGCATTATGATAACTATAAAGAAAAGTCAAAACCTCAGCCATTTTATTACTTTTGGGATTAAAAAGTGAATAGGTGACAAGTTTTCAAAATGAAAAAAGACTATTGACCGACTTGCAAAAGTTTAGAAAATTTGGGAAGTTTATTATGCACGTACACCGTAAATTGTTACCACTCATGCGCATGGATAGAAGCTAAAATATAGCCAAAATAGCTGTAATCTGGCTGTAATTTGTATGTCACAGCAAAAGTAGAGTAACTTGACTATCAGTTTTATATTAAATTTAGCATGTATCAGCGATAGTCAAGCGGACCTATGCGTTTATTTATACGGCTTTAATATTAATACTTAAAGATCTATGTGTAGTTCTGTAATTAGTCTTTTATGAATTTGCGTCCGCGCTTGTATACTTATAATATACTTTATAAATTATAATAATTTGTAATGATTAATTAATCTTTAAATTTGATCTAAGTTTAGTGAGGCGAATGTTCCGGGATGTCATAAGTTCAATACCAGTTGAAGTAAAAATTAAAAAGAAATTTTTTTTCAATATTTTTACGTAATTTTACTGCCACTGCTGTAATGTGGCTATGCCAACTTTTTTACGGCAAAATAATTGTGCAGCCAAATGGCTACGATATAGTTTTTAAAGCCTAAAAATGTTGTCTTATTTTTGCTGCTACAATTTTGTCAAAACATTACAATGACGTTGTGGCGGTAGCTGTGCTAGACAAAAATGCTACGGTTTAAGCTACAACAACGTTATTGCAAACATTTTGAAGCTTCATGTGTTTGCTGTAATGTGGCTATGACAACTTTTTTATAGCAAAATAGTTGTGCAGCCAAATAGCTGCGACATCGTTTTCAAAGCCTAAAAATGTTGTCCCACTTTTGCTGCTACAACTTTGTCAAAACGACACAGTGACGTTGTGGCAGTAGCTGTACTAGACAAAAATGCTGCGGTTTAAGTTGCGACAACGTTATCGTAGACGTTTTAAAGTTTCATGTGCTACTTGGGTAGATACTGTAATGCAATATTTTTTTCGTATGCGAACTTGGTCATGTTGAATAAAAATAAATTTTTTGATCTGAGATAACGTGTCTCGATTCCAACAAAATCACTTTGTATTTAAACGAATAATTACTTGAACCAGCTACATATATAGTTCGATAAATGCAAATTCAGTTCCGTTTATTAAAATGCAGTTAAAATTCATATTCACGAAGATACAAAGCAACCAAAATTTTGTTTTTGAAACTGAACACATGAAGTCTGTATCAAAAGATGAAGTGAAGATAACAAAATATATATTTGATATAAATATGATATATAAATGAAAGCTTTGTTGAATGACTTCAATACACTTCATATATTTGTTGATATAATTTAATGAACAATTTAGGTGATTGGTGCATTCGTACGTTTTGTCGTTTGACAGATAATTTTTATAGAGCAAACCGAGATTTATTTCGTCGATAGAAACAATTTGCCCTCGGGAGAAGTCAACTCCTAAAGTGCGCGTCCTCCGGGTGGCGGATGGGGGATTGCTCACACCGGCTATGCCAGGAGGGTAGATGTGAAATTATATTTGAATTAACACCAAAGCAGATCCGAGACGTCTTAAAAGGCGTAAACCACAGGACTTGATCCAATGAATAGTATTATACAGGGTGTTTCATAATGTCCGTGCCAACGCTCGTATGCGAATAAAGTGCGGTAAACTGAATAGAAAAGTCCTTTACCGTTTTGCAATTTTCGCAATAGTTATTGAGATATTAATTAAAAGGGATTGACGAATAATCGCGCATTGCGCGTAGCTAGATCGTGGGCTGTACACTCTAAACGTGACAACAACGAGGATCGCATGACAACGAAAAATAACACGTAGCGAGAGCAGGAGTGATATGCGTTGTTATTTTTCGTTGCCATGCGATTCTCATTGCTGTCACGCCTAGAGCGTACAGCCTACGATCTAGCCGCGATCAACGCGCGATTATTCGTCAATCCTTTTAATTAATATCTCAATTACTATTGCAAAAATTGCAAAACGGTAAAGGACTTTTCTACTCAGTTTACCGCACTCTATCCGTACACGAGCGTTGGCACGGACATTATAAAACACCCTGTATAATATAATACAGGGTGTACAATAATTGCTGAATCACCTCTCGGATGTAGGTAGAGCGGTTTAAACCGAATAGAAAAGTCCTCTATCATTTTGCGATTTTCGCAATAATTAATGAGGAATTAATTAAAAAATATCGACCAATACGCGCGAGTTTAAGAACGTAGCGAGAAGAGACCCGCGGCGATACAGCCCATTGTTATTTGGTTACTAAGCGCGCAATAAAGCGTTGGGAGGAGCGCTCGACAAATGACAACGGCAACATACGAGCGGTGTGTAATACTAAGATCCTTGCGTCCTAGCAACCACGTAACAGTAGGCTGTTTCTTCTCGCCGTGCGCTTAGACTCGCGCAAATTGGCCGATCTTCTTTAATTATTTTCTCATTAATTATTGCGAAAATCGCAAAACAGTAGAGGACTTTTCTACTCGGTTTAATCCGCTCTACCTGCACCCGAGAAGTGATTCAGCAATTATATAATAGTTGGAGCATGGATAATGGTATAAGTCCCAACACATGTCTAATTGAAACCATTATTAGAAGTATTACTTATTAAAACAATTAGTTTAAGATCGTAATAGACAATTTATTTATTAAAAAAAAAGAAAAAGAAACAATTTGTTGAAAAAGTTCTACATTGAGTAGAAGCAAATGAATTTTCATCTGACAATGAATGACATACATGAAGCGTTCACCAAAATATAAAGTGAAAGTAACTAAATACCCGCTTGTTAGTATAAATAACTATTTTATTAAATGAATTAAATATACGATCAACATGTACATTAATTCAAATTAACGAACAATTCCCGATCTACATTTTTCATTTATAGTATTTGTTATTTTATTTTTTATATAATCTAAAACTAAACATTGCACATTTCATGTAAATTTAATTGATAAATGGAGCACTAGATAGACTTATTTCGATCGTTAATATTAATGACAATAATTTATTACTACCTTTTATTTTTAAACACAAATGTATTATTTTTTTAAAATCAAGAAAAAAATTATTAAAATTTTTTCTTATTATATAATAATTTATTTCATATCACATCAATGGCGACAGGTTACGTGTTGGGGATTCCGAATTTTTCGGTAGCCTGCGTTGCACACATAAATTTAGTTCGAATCTATACGCTTATGTAATGATCAAAATTGAAAAAAATTCAAATGGTTAAGCAACAGTTTCGTTCAGTGGATAACAACATATCACGTAATTCAGTGCTCGGAATTAGTCTGAACATTTCAGCCGATTTCCGTGGTATACGCCTCCTTTCCTCTCCTTACCGCGCGCGCCGCAGCCGCTAGGGCCAGCGCCGCCGAGCGTTAGGAGCGACACTATCTGATTATGAGTGGGTTCTTTTCCCTATTTATTAAAATTTTAAAAAATGTATTAAAATTTATTAAAAATAAATTTTTTATTTTTAAATTTATTAAGTGGAAATATTTCAATAGATTTCCACGTCACCCATGAGATACTAATGCTGACGCGTTTTTTTTTTAAATGGTTTCCCCCGTAGACCTATTCCACTAAAGATAAAAATAATTCTTAATTTAAAAAAAATATATATATAAAAGAGATTTTCTTAATTAGATTTTCTTAGCCTTTTATGAGAATGAACAATTGATGCAATAATATAGATAGAAACCACTTTTTGAAAAACGTGTCAGTATTAGTACCTCATGGGTGACGTAGAAATCTATTGAAATATTTCCACTTAATAAATTTAAAAAAAAATTTTTAATAAATTTTTTAAATTTTAATAAATAGGGAGAAGAACCTACTCATAGAACCTAATCAGATAGTGCCGCTTCTAACGCTCGGCGGCGCTGGCCGTAGCGGCTGCGACGCGCGCGGTAAGGAGAGGAAAGGAGGCGTATACCACGGAAATCGGCTGAAATGTTCAGACTAATTCCGAGCACTGACGTAATTAATGATAAATTTTATCATATACAACTCAAAACATTCGATTAAATACATCGATCAATTTGTTCAATGAAGTTTCAAGACCAAAGATCGAATTGCAAATATCCCCACTACGGAGGTTTATCATGTCGCGAAAGTTGTAGAAAGTGCAGTTCTATAAAAGCCACTTCGAACTTCAGAACGCAGTAATTGCAGAAACGCAGCATTTAAACAACGCTACTTAGCTTGATAAAACTCATAATAACAGTGATTTGTATTATTCGCATAACAAAAAATATTCATTAAAAATGGTAGATCTTAATGAGACGTCTGAAAACAGTACTAAAAATTCCCTACGTAAAGTAAAACATTCGAGTGAATATGAATTTGTAACAGTAATCAAGAATAACTTCAATCCGAAATTATTTCCGAATGACTTCAATATCCGAACCGTAAAAGAACAATATACCTGGATAAATGAGAATATCGCTGAATTCTTTCCAAACGTACCGCAATCTTTATTAAGCATAATACCTGCTTGCTATCGCCAAGTAGATTTACCATCAATGGAAAAACCAAAATGGTTGAATGTAAATAAATATTATAGAGGACAAAAATTTGCAAGCGAACATTTCGCTTCAATTGTTTTCACCCTAATAGTGGGAGTGGTCCATGTGTATTCTTTCAACGATTTTATGAAACCAGTAATCATGTCAAGACGCTCCGATACACCATATTTAGAATTTCAAAGGTATTTATGTTTTAATTCATTGGCTTACAGTTATATTCTACTTTGCTGCGAATCTCGAGATATTTATAAAATTTCCGATTATAATTAATCCATATGTTATAGAACTATTACATTTGTTGATTATAAAACATTCTACATAAATTTAGTTAATATGACTTTTTTCAAAACTTGGTATTATTTTGCAAGATGTTTAGCGACTGTACAACGCTTTTTTAATTGGTACAACGGGGAGCCTTGGATTGAAGGAACGCCTGCTTATGAAGACATGCTAATTACGCGTAAGAAGCATTTGATGATGAGAGACAAATTGTTTAAACTTGATAACGAGCAAATCGATAATGCATCCAAAATTGCGAAGCCATGGTGTCCGGATTACAAATTATTGCAAAAAGATTTTGCCGCGGCATGTCCATTTGAGAATTTTAGGCAACGTCCTTATACGTTTCTCAATATAACACCATGCAGACCAAAAGGTATGAATAATGCAGATATGGCAGTCACGCAATGCTGCTTTATAAGTTCGCTCATACTCTGGCCAGAAAATATGGGAGTGAAAGCAACTGATGATGATTTAGAAGCCTTTTGTCATATGTGGAGGTGTTACGGATATTTTCTTGGAATAGAAGACAAGTAAGTAATAATAAGAATAGATGTGTTAGTAAGAAGTAAAAAGTTAGTGAAAAAAATGTTTTAATAAAATGTTTGAATATGGTGAGTTCCGGAACGGCTAATTATTTCAGAAAATATTGATTTATTGGAAAAATGTTTCAAACAAAAAGAGTAGGGTTTAAAAGAATCTATTAGCTGATAATATTAATTTGACCTTAAGTGGCGTCGCCAAGGTCGCGACAAGGTCACCTTGAATTTTTAAAGTAGAATCTCTTATTTTTTATTGCATATTTATGTAGTCAATTTTGAGAGCTTTTTAAAACACTATAATAAAGTTATTTTTTATTAAGAAACTTTTTAAGTTATGAGATTTGAAAGTTACGGTAAAGTATGAGAGAGAGAGAATGAGGCAACGCGCTCAACGCGCTTCTTTCTCTCTTACTTTACTAACTTTCAAGCCTCATAACTCGAAAAGTTTTTAATGAAAAATAACTTTATTATAGTGTCTTGAAAAGCTTTCGAGGTTTCTACAAGGATATGCAATAAAAAATAGGAAATTTTATTTAAAAAATTCAAGGTGACCTTGTCTTGACTTTGGCAACGCCACCCAAGGTCAAATAAATATCATCAGCTAGATTTTTTTACTACTTTTTTTGTTTGAAACATTTTTCCAATAAATCAATATTTTCTGAGATAATTGGCCGTTCCAGAACTTTTGCCACTCACTGTTTATAAATTCTTAAATGTTCTACAATATTTGACTCTGCTTATGTAATTCGCCAGGCACAACTTTTGTCGTGGTAGCCTCAAGGAAATAAGACAACGCATGAAAGATCTGTATCAATATTGGATAATACCAAATTTGAAGGATGTTACACCCGAATGGGAGCATATGACGAGATGTCTCATCGTACCCTTCAATTATTATCCGTTCATATACATGCCTTATAAAGTGATGGTATTAATCGCAACAGATTTGTTAAATCTGAACATGTCACACTTGTATAAGTCGCTCAGTTACTCAGAATGGTGTGCTTATAAAATATGGAAGTAAGTTATATTTTTTACATTTCTATACAAGTATTTAAGTAGTCAATTCATTATTAATTCATTAAGTATAATTACCAATTTTATCCGACATTAAGACTTTAAATTGAAAAAGATATAAATGCCAAAATATAAAAAAAGAATTTGTCTAAAAAGACGTATATTATTATTTATTTTTTCTAAAGTTAATACTTTTTTATACGCGTTAAAGCGTATTCTTCACGTTGTCATTAATTTTTTTTATATTAAAAAATTTCATTTTAAAGTTTACATTTCTTTAAAATGTTAAAATCTCAATTATTATATAATAATGAGTATTGCAAAATGTCTATTCTGTAATTTTGTTATTTCAATAATTTCAGATTCCTATTACGTCTCGCTTTGAAATTTTCAACCGTACGAACAATTTTTAATAAAGTTTTACGCAAAATAATTGATAAAGCGGCAAATTATAGCCCGGAAAAACATGCAGAACTTCAAGAAATATCAAAAATGCAGCTGTCAAATTTGTCTACTATGTATTAGTATTAAGAGAGTTTGAAATTATAAAATTATATTGTTTTTAATTGTATATATCACTGGTGATGGACGTGTATTATGATTTTTGTTTATTTCATATAATTTTATAAAAAATCACAGTTTTATAAAAAAAGCAATTTTATAATGAAATATCGAAACATTGAGTTAATGTTATGTTTATTAATATTTTTGTTTTAGCAAGAAATTGTTTTATAAAATAATTTTTGATCATAAAAAAATTATAAAACAGTTTGTTTTCTAACATAGTTTACTATCTGGCATACTTTATTGGAATAGATTTTTGCGTTTGTTGATTATAATGTCATCTGATTTACAATGAGTAAACAGTCAGTCTGAGTGAAATAACTTGAGTTATTGTGATTTGTTAATATTTATAAAAAATAATATCTTTTATTTCTCAGAAAATTTTACATTAATACTGCAATTTTACACATTTTTTTGTTATCAATTTATATCTGATACTCCTCGAATGTTTCTTTTCTTATTTAAAAAACATAAAATTTATATGATTATAGACGTTCCAATTTAACACATTGTATTCTGATTTATTTTTGCAAATAATATATGCATAATAAAGAAAAAGTGTGAAATTTATTTCTAAATGTCAAGATTATTTCTAAAAACTAGTCTTTAATATTTGGCAAAATGTCACAAACTTTGCCGCAAATTTTGCGAATTATATCACTACATTATGTTGCACAAAATATTACGTAACTTTGCATAAATGTGGATGACTATATACATGTGTTAGTCTCATAGCGGTTTTTTGCGTACGTATAATTCGTTTTTTGCTGCGTGGAGCTAAATTATCGTTTTCATTTGCATATTGACAAATTAAATAATGATGTCGAATAGTGGTACGTTTAAAAACGTTTTTAATTCCAAAAATAATATAATAAAAATTTAAGCAAACCAAAAAGAAAATTCAGATAAACGACAACAAGTATTATTGCTAAAAAGTATTGTATATTTACTCGAGAGATGTTTTCCAATAATTTTGATACGTGGACAATATTATCGGCCTCTTTTCATCAAATTAATTTTGATCGATCGCCAGTTCAATTGCTTGAAAACGGATGAATGTAGATAAATCGCCGAAAATAAAAGTTTATCCTTGATAGGAATGCCGTCAAGATTCGAGATTTCGAGAATCTCGCCTTGTCTTGTCTCGAATTTGAGGCAGAATCGAGGCGAGACTTTTGTGTTGAGTTTCAAGACGAGACAAGTTTCTAGACTCAAGATTCTCGAAAATCTCGAGTCTCGAAAAATTGTAGAAATTGTTCTATTCTTCTGTAAAATATTTCGCTTGATCATCGTTTGGAAAACAAACGATCATCGCTGCAACCAGCGATTTAGCTGCACGACCGCGATTGTCTTTTTCCTCCTCAACTTATTAATATGTAATTGTAAGGAATAAATAATTGTGAATAATAAGGAAATAAAAGAAAAATAATCGTAATCTATTATTGATACGATTTAATTGTTCAGTAAGTGACTTCTTTGTGTAAAATTATTTTCACGAATACTTATTTCAATGATGGATATTTAATATTATAGAAAAAGTAAATATTAATGAATATTTTTTACCTTGAAATAATTAAATAGTCATTAGGTTGCAAATAAAGAGAAGAATTAGAAACTCACCATATTAGATATTTACGTTTTTTATTGTCAAATTTAGAAATAATATTATAATATCAATATCATTAATAACTCAAAATATTTAGGGATGAAATGGAGCATGTGATGCACGCTTGCGTGTGCGTTCGTGCGTGCAATAAGCGCACGCGCACGTGTCAAGATTTTTGAGAATTTCGAGATAAAACAAGATTTTCGGGTTCAAGATCAAGACGAGAATATACATGGCTTCTTTTCGAGACAAGACGAGATTTCTCGAAATCTGTACGCTGTATTTACAAAGGTATTTCTTTTTAATTATTTATTATTTGTTAATTTTTACAACTGATAAAAAAAATTAGTGATCAAAATCTTTACTAATATTCTATTTTTAGACTACTGTAAAATTTTATGTTATGCCCCTTTGTAATATTTTATTAACGCTCGTGCCTAACCAATTTTATTTATTTTAATCATTTTTCTTTCATCATTTTCATTACTTTCACATTTTATTTTTACATTTATTATTATTGTATCAGGATCTTACATAGCATGTTTCATAAAGAAAATATGATTGCATAAGTATCATAGATCACAAAAGAATTAACATGCATTTTTTTTTAACAGTTTTTTTTTTAATTTTGAAGATGTCAATCAACTTTCAAGCGAATTTTAAGCTGGCATTATGGAGACCCTTGAATTAAAAGAACACAGACTTATAAAGACATGCAAGTTACACATAAATTGCATTTGTGATGAGTGTAAAAGTTGTGTCAGCTCGATATTGAGTAAATCTTCATTTAACATCCAAGAAAAATAAAGAATGTAGTAAGTGCTTTTGAAAAAGAGTCACAGAAGAACTGTCAGATTTAATTGTAAGTGATACTGGGGGCTAGCCAGTAACCCTACCCGCATTATTACCAAATGCTTTTAAAAAATTATAGGGATATCTAAATGGATAGCTTTCAATGCTCCTGACTATACATTAGTCTTTGTAAATTATTATGTTTTACTAATATTACATGTATGTGTGTGTGATTTATTAGGCACAACTTTTTTCGAAGAAATAAAGCAACGCACGCGAGATTTTTTCCAATATAACGCTTAATTTCAAAATTATTACTCCCGAATGGGAGCACATGACCAAATATGTTATCTTTTCGATGAATTATTATCATCTTTTTAGTACATCTTTAAGATGTTTTTTTTTTTAATTTTTAGAACGTCTTTAAAATGTCTTTTTAATATTTTAAGACGGCTTTGAGATGTCTTTTATATATCAAGTCCCGAAAGAAAAATGGAGCTTATACTTTTAGTATATGTACTTTAATTATAGAAAAAAAATTTTTATTGCGTAGTCAAACAAAAGATTTTTACTAGAATTAAAAGTCGTAAAACAGACGACTCCAGCATACCCTTAATTAAATCAAACGCAAGAATGTCGCGCTATGATAGTAAAACAGTTTAAGTCATTATCAATTGTCTATAAAGTAGTTTTCTATGTTATCAGAAATCGATTTAAATTTTACAGATGTGCAACTGAAGATGTCACTGCTCGGCATTCAAACAACACTGCAAGTATTCTCAATCTCCTCGAGACGGCGCCAGTCTCAGTAAAAATGGAGCCGCTTGAGTGAAGGTGGGCGACTCTGTGCGCGCGTGAGTCCGGAAAGTGCTATTTTTCGGAGATGTGGCAAGATCTGGGCAGTCTCGGGGGTGTAGGAGTGAATTCTGGTGCTCATCAGGTTGATCAATTCGGAACGACGGGTAAGAGATCCATCGGATAAAATTCGGAGTTCGGAGCATACGCCAAGTCTGACGAAAGCCAAGCGCATCGAGTCTTTCGCCACGGCATGGCGCATGCGTTCTTGTTCTTCTTGTACTCCGTATCGTAAACGGTGTACGCGTAGTAAACAAAACGGTACGATGCTCCGAAAATTCTTCAATACAACAGAAATCGGTGCCGAACTTGTGCCAATGCCGTTGCGGAAAGATGCGTGACTGCTTTCCCTCTATCGTAGGCCAATTTAAGATCTTGCATTTGTCGAGTTTACAAACAGAATTTCTGGGAAGAAAGCTTTCTGTGTTTGTTAAAACTAAATCATGAAAAAATGAAGAAAATTCCAAAGTAATCAGTCATATTCTTAGATAGAACAATCAACATCCAGTGATTACACGGCTATCTGTCTAGATAAATTTGAAATTTTCTTTTCAGCTGGGCTTAATCAGTAATCGATAGAACGTTGTCTCTACGCGGAAATCGAGCCCGTTACAACGGTTGCGCGTCTCGAGTTTTAATTGTTCCGTTCCGTTTTGTCGTTTAACCTAGCCTATTCTAAATTGCCTGAGGCAAAACTTTCCTTTCGCTCCATGAGAAACTGATTAGCGTAATCTAAATCTACGCGATAATGAGCTCCGACATTTATAAGAATGACATTTCAACACAGCAAAACATCGTGAGTGCGAGTACAATAAAATGTTCACATTAATGTAGAAGAATGCTTTCCTTAGAAAGTTCTCTGTAAAATTATTACCTAATTTAATAAGGAACAATCCTAATTAGCTGAAGTACGTCAAAATCATCGCGACACGGCAAGTTGTTACGCATTATGACGTATAGTTAACGTTCGCTACTACGGCCTATATGCAGCTTTAATTTGACAGCCCTATTTTTAGACCTTTCGGTAAATTGCTGCTAACGAGACCTCCATTTGGCTTTGCAACGGGGACGCGACATTCCGAAGTGTAATCATCCGTAACAATTACTCGAGAATGCATTTTGAAAGAAATAAGGATACTTGGGCGCTTTGACATAAACTTAGAATAAAAACATGTATTTTTAAGCTAAGATTGACGTTTCTAATTATTTATTTGTTTATAGAATTGACTCCCGAACAACAAAAGATCCTGATAGATATAAGACGAAAGAAAACAGAGTTGCTGCTTGAAATACAAGTGAGTATGCCAGTTAAGAATTTTATTTTATTTTAGTAGTTAATATATTATTATTATATAGTTAATATATTGTGTGTGAAATGTTTATTGCGTAGTTTGTGATATATATGCAGAGAAGAAAAGCAGGTATATTATATTTGATATAAGAAAAAGAGAAAGAGAGAAAATTTTTAAATCGAATAAAAAAAACAATGATTTTCTTAAATTTCCAATAAAACCATCGGGGAATGATGTCACTCTTGAGGAATTTACACATATATATATAAATAACATAATAATAAATCATATATAGTATATATAAGTATACTATAGAACATCGTGTTTATCGTTTACGTTTATCGCTCGTAGATGCAATGATAAAGACAACAAAAAATGAATCGACTTTTATATTTGTTTCAATGAATACACAATAGGAATACGCAATAGGAATGTTACTTAAAATTTTCCTGGAATAGATATCTGTTCGAGCATCGTAAACTTTTTTCGATAATGAAGAATTTTTTTGACAAGATTAAGCACATGAGTAAGTAGACAGATTCTACATATGAAAAAAGAAATAAATTTATACGTTCGAATGTTTGTGAAACGATCAAATATAACAAATTATATTATCTTGTTATGATTTTGGGTATAGCATAATAAGCATTTCTTTGATATTGTTATCAAATAACGTTAAAGTATTTCAATGTTTTATAAAAACGTGGAAAATATTTTTCTGGTTGTTGTCATATCGCAACAATGAGTAATGCAACAGTAAAGTAACGACGATCGAGGCTTTACGAGGACACGCATTTGTGTATATATGTATGCGTCGCCAGAAAAATTCCAGGATGTTCTTATGATAAGACTCGTTTCCGCAAGACTAGATAGTCTCGCTTACTCATCTGTTTGTAAGTTCATATCAATTTAACGAAATATTGAGCGCTGTTAGATATAGCGACCTCATAAATTTAAAAAGCCGGTACGAAACTATTTCGCTGCGTTTTGCATGAAAATCTCGTTTCCATATTTGATGCCATTCCAATTCGAATAGCGCGCTCGTTGCTCCTTTTATCTATGGAATTTCGGATATCAAAACAGAATTGTAACGGAGCGTGTTGCGTGCGGTTTGCCACGACCAATACCATCGCATAATTTACGGCGTAAACACCGTAGACGCGTAAGGAATCTTGAGTAAGCGTCATTATCTCCGGTTAAGCTGAACTCGCAATTCTCATCGTCAATGACGCGAAACTCTTACTCGTTTCGAGGCAATACGCACAAATTTGGGACACGCTGGTTGTGTGCGTCGAGTTGTTTGATGCTTGTTATACGAAGCAGACGCCGTCAACAGGTGACGTAATTAATTAACTTATTATTAATCGCGCGGAAAGTAAAATACGCCCTTTACTTTAGAAATTGCACGAATTAATTAAGTAAAAACTTTTTTATTGATCGCACGTTGTTGTTTACAAATTGAGCGTCAACGTGACTTATATGAGAAAACGCATGTCCTGAGGACACAATCAATAAAAAGTCGATGCGAAATTACTATCAATTAAGGTATATTAGAGATTACATAAACGAGAAATTTACGTGGAAGGCGATGATTTGATTGAGTTGTGTAGTAGATCGATACGATTACGCGAAGTGATCTTGGATCGTAGGTTATTAGCAACGTGACGCGTATGATAAATTGTACGCGGACACAAGCAGTTTCCTGGAGAGGAAGTAGACAGCAGCTCACCAATAGCTGACACATCTACTTCGTAGTAACATCAATGAGCCCACGTCATTCCACTCTTTATCCGCGTTAATCGAGCAACCGTCGCGTCTAAGCGTACAGGCTGAGCGCGTAATTACTGACAAAATCACCCTTCAAATTTTCGTATCAC